GGCAATTCAAGGTTTGACATAAGCCACACACACACGCACACATTCACATTGGTCGTTAACAACTTGCATATTCCATAACATAATAGGAAAATACAAACTTAACATAAACACAAAACCCAGTTTTGTCATAACCCACAACAGCACCCAAAACTCGCTCTCTTTCACTATCTGTCTCTCTCGCTCACTCACTCTCACCCTCTTTCTCACTACTCACCTTCTCTTCGCACATGTTTAAGCAGCGCAGCAGCAAACGATTCTATTTTATGGTTGAATTGCTTTATAACGAAACTCGGGTCTTTTGAAAAATTCACAAGTGTGTGATTTTTTTATTGATAGACTTTTGGGAAATTGGAAATTGAAAAATCCATATACAGAAACAGAAAAAAAGAGTACAAAACTATGTGTGGTTTTATTTTATTTCATATCCGATCGATCTGCGCGAACTTTCTTACCGATTCACCTACTGTGTGGGGGTCTAAGGTAGTATGGAAATGTATTAAATAAAAAACCTATCCGATAATCCGCTTCTTCGGGATCGTTAGCTGCTGCTGTTGATATTGTGTCTTGTTATTGTTGTTGTTGGCACTTCTCTCGTTAACCCTCCTGTATATTGTGTGTTAGTGTAAAAGCCGTTCAACTAAATAATGGCAAATATTAACCAATGCTCATCTTACTTTTGCTCTCTAACAGTCCCAGCTTGACAAGCAAGAAATCTAATGAGCTGATCCAGGGCAGCCTGAGCAGCATTAAGTATGCGGCCAATTCGCTGACGCGCAAGTTTGATGAGATCAAGGGCGCCATATCGGCCAATTCGACACCGGTGAAGACAAATAATGGCCACCAGCAGCTCCATCACCATCATCATCATCACCACCATCATCTGCAGCACCATCATCATCATCAGCATCATCACCAGCAGGAGGCGACTGCGGGCGGCGAAGAGCATGACACAGCTGGCGGTGCCGATGAGGGCAAACTACGTCGCGTCTCTAGCGATCTAGATCCTTGGGGCAGGCTGAGCGAGTCGCGCAAGTCGAGCTACAACAATTTGGTACCGCTGGGCGAGAACAGCTCCAATGCGGCAATGCATATGTACTCCTTTCCCGCGCTGCCCGACAATCTTTACAGCCCCATTATTGAGGTAAGTGAGTCTATCCAATTCCGAACCTAAACTGACCATTATTGCTTTGCTGCAGGCCGCGGATCCGGAATGCGATGTGCTGATACAGTTGACGACATGCTCGCAGTGTCACAACTGCTCGGTGCTGGTCTATGATGAGGAGATCATGAGCGGCTGGTCGGCGGAGGATTCCAATTTGAATACCACATGCCATGCGTGCTATAAGCTGACGGTGCCTTTTCTCAGCGTTCAGATCACGCGCCTGGAGGCCGCCGCGACAGAAAACAATGGCGAGAGCGTGGCTGCCAACAAGTCTTGCTTGACGGTGCCGTATCTGAATCCGCTAGTGCTGCGCAAAGAGCTGGAGAATATACTCACCCAAGAGGGTGACTTGTCGCTTATCAAGCCCAACTTTGTCGAGGAGCATCCAATCATCTACTGGAATCTGTTGTGGCTAATGGAGCGCATCGAGTGCAAGACGCATCTGCCCGAACTGAGCCTGCCGCCAACGGTGACTACAAAACAAATTCCATGGTGTTGTAGCTCATGTCATTGATTCATTTCTTTTGCAGAGCGATGAGGAGCAACTGGATCCACTGACTAAGGTCAAGACCGTGCACATACAATGCCTGTGGGATAATCTAAATTTGCATAGCGAAACTAGCGGTTCGCCCATGTATATACTCTATCGGGAGACGCAGCCAGCAAGTCCATTGATCAAGGCACTGCTCACCGATCAGGCGCAGCTCAGCATGAAGTAAGGCATAAATATATATATATTTATATTGTATACATGGACAAGTCGTCTGCTTTCCTATAACAAACACATTAAGGCCCTTGTCGATATGAAAAACAAACTAGAAAGCACGGCGATATTCGGCCCGTCGCAGATTTAATGCCCTTGTAGACATATGTATGGCTCTTATTTCCGAGCATCTGCTCCCATAAAAGCCTTATAATATACTAGTTCGATTTGATAAGGCATGATTTGCAGGCAAGTTTAGAGGTCGGGATAGTACTGCTAGAAACTCTATTCTTAGTTGGTTCAAGATATTGTGACGAATTGTCAAATACTCCATACAAAAACGCATATTATGACAGATTCTTCCAATAGAAATATATGATATATTACTTGACAAGATATTACTCATATGCAGGGTTGGTAACTGTGCCACGTAAATAATAGCTGAATCTGTTAGAAAATACCTGAATAAGCTTCTTGATCGAAAATGATTAGATGAGTTTTAGTAGGCAAAAACTGAATTATCGACCTGTCGCTCAATAAAGGAACACCTTCAAGAGAAAGTGCGTGCACAACTAAGTGACTGTAGATATATTTTAATATTTATCAAGGCTTATATATTGAACTCTTTGTCTTGATTCAACTTATTCATAATTGTTTCTTTTGTTGCAGTGTCATTCAACAAATCATTTCGGCGATACGGTGCAACGATATGGCAACGCCGCTGAAGCGTTTGGCCAACGAACGGCACAAACTGAAGAGCAGCGGGTTGGAGCGTTCGCATTCATTCTATCGGGATATACTCTTTTTGGCGCTAACGGCCATTGGCCGGGCCAATGTGGACCTGGCCACATTCCATCGCGAATATGCGGCCGTATTCGATAAGCTGACGGAACGCGAGTGCAATATGTATTATCGCAATCAGGACCTGCCCCCATCGGCATCCACAATCTTTTGTCGGGCATACTTCAAGCCCCTGCTGCTGCCCTGACGTGCGCTCGATGTAGACCAGGATCAGGATCAGGGTGTCTAGTGTGGATTGGCAAAATGTGAAACCCTAAAAGACATGGCGACCAAAAACAGACAAACAACCAGAAAACGCTTAACAGAACCACATCAATTGCAAAAAAAAAAAACAAACAAAAACAAAAGAAAACAAAAAAAAGATATATTTTGACTTGTAAATGACTTAAACTTAAATCTTAAGTACTTAAATTTTTTGTTCTTTTTTTTTTAAATATTTTTTTATTTGAATTTAACATTTTTGTTTTTGCTTAGCACTCTCTCTCTCTCTTTCGCTCGCTCGCACAACGCAGAGCTCACACACATTCACACACTCACACACACACATACACTTCTAAATGACTGGTTTCTAAGACAATACACATACCCACACACACACACACCAAACGATTTATTGACTTACCTATAGATATACTTTTTTAGATTCGACTTCCTGCAACAAATTGACCCTCAACGTATTTGCCTTATTATATATAATATAACGGTACATACATATATTTATGTGTGATCCGTCTGTAGAACTAGTTTTTATGGATGTCCTATGTATGTATGCATGTATGTCTGTCCATGTATGTATGTATATGTATGTAGTATATCAACATTTCAAATCGCATCGCCTTCAAATTGTGATTTTTATTTCAAAAATATATAATTTCATCGAACTGCGATCGATTAATCGATTATCGATCGAATGTAGATAGCGCGTGAAATGAACTATGTTTCGAAAACCAAGGATTGGTGGTGGGGGCGGATAGGGGGGTTTGGGTAAATTGGGGTAGGGTTTGGGTGGGGTCTGGGCCTCGGGTTACACGGATTGAACTGGGAGCGAAACCTTCCGACCAACAGACGACAACAACAACAACAACGATTACCATAGCAAAAAATAAAAAATCAGACAGTTAATGTCAAATCTAATTAAAATCGCGATTTTTAAAGATCACCCGTTCATATACAGCCACACTCACACACACACAAGCACATACCAACAACGATAGTAAAATTTAAAAAAAATTAAACACAAAACTAACAATAATAAACTCATGTTTCTTTTCAACAATCTTTTTTGTCGGTCATATTAAGTAAATGTATATTTAATATTTAAATTAATTTAAAACAAAATGCAAAAATAAAAAAAAAAAAACAACCTAGAAAAATAGTTGTCTAAGGGTTTGCCAAGGACTAAATAATTTTACGGAAAATACATCAGGAAATCATATCTTAACCGGAAGTTTCTTAAACACTTTTTAAAAAGTTTCGGATCCCATTCCAAAGTTGATTCGTAAATATGAACTAGGCAGCCTTATTTGAATTTTGAAATTAAAGTCGCGTTTCATTGAATAGGCCAATTCCACTGTTTAAAATTTTGGACAATCCGAAATGGCAACTGCATTAATATTATCGAAAGAAAGGTCGTCTTTAAGCATAGTTTTATGGGTACCCACCCATTTGGGATGTATTTAAAAAGTTAAATATTCTGGCTTATGGACTTATTAACTCTTAAGATCTCCGATGTACGCTCCGATATTTTAGAGTAGTTTTAGAATAGGCTGCTCCTTGAAAGCTAATCTAAAATATATTTTTTTTCCTGATTTTTGTGATAATCTCTAAGATATGAATAGATCATTTAACCTGAAGACGGCTATAAATTGCTTTAAAGTTTTCAGTTCAGTATCGTCTTGCGGAAAAAAGAAGAAAAAAACGTATCAAGTGAATATATAAAGAATGATTCCGGATCAAAAACATAAAAATAATGATTTTGCACTTATGACAGTCTCATGGGATCGGACTTGGCTCTTCTGCCTGTTAAATATATTTATACAAAATCATAAAGCCCCTTTTACTCATCAGTGGGTTCAGGGTATACGAATACGTATTTCCACCGTCACGGACGGGAAATGAGTGAGTAACTGATATGCTAACTGCCTCTTCAATTTTAATTCTAGAATTGGACAACTTATTATTCCTGTGTGATATAGTTCTAAGCTATCAAGCCAAATTGTCCCTTGGGTAGGACTATACTACAACTATCCTTGGATTCGAACCCAAATCGTGCCAGTGTCTCTTAAACACTAACCGAAGACTGAAATTTTACAAATATTTCAATAACTTTCTTGATTTGCATATAAATAATAAACAAAATTTATTTGTTGTAGAAATACATATATATATATCGAGAAAAAAAAAAACTATATTTAAATCCATGTACCTTCTGGAGAACGCATCCGTACGATTATAGAACCAGCCAAGTGAATTGATATTGCGTTACTTGGATAGTTCGCACGGCAAGTACAGTAAAAACTAAGGCTAGACGAATTTAGATGCTAGGTAAAGGATCTGACAAAGATAGATATGTTTAATGTTTAGAAAGAAGGACAGGAGACGAGCTCCGTTTAGTCGGAGAGCAGAACAACATCGTCGGACATTGGCGCCGGTGAGGGCTTCTTCCTGCTGGTCGTCTCGTTGTGCTTGCGCAGATACTGGCTGATGAGCGCATTCTTGGTGGGCGCATGGAACTGCTGATCCCGCGGCACAGACATGAGCAGTGTGCCACGTTTCTTGGTTGTCGCCGCGGGTGAAGCTGTGCCAGCTGTGGCTGTGCCTGTGCTTGTGCCTGCTGTGGACGTGCTGAGCGCTGACTCGTCGCGCTTGCTAACATCGGATTTGGGCGTGCTGCAAGCCTCCGCTGTCTCTGTGGGCGGCGTGGCCTCTCGCAACGATGTGTCCGTCTTACTGATCTTGGGCGTGAGCGTGTAGCTCCATTGGTTCTGCAGCGTCAGCTCGTCCAGCTTGAACTTGTGTAGCATTTCTGCATTGACCACCCAGCAGAGGCGCTTTTTGGGCTTCTTCGACTTCTTGGCTTCGGTGCCAGTGCCCAGCTCGACGGGCTTCCAGCTGGCCAGCTCGTCGAACTTCTCGCGCAGCAGAGTCTTGGGCGGCAGCAGTGTTTGCGACTCCTGCGGAATCTGTGTCTTCAAGTACTCCAGATACTCGGAGATAAGGAAGGCCTTGGCATTGCTGTTGCCGTGTATGAGACGCACCAGTTGCTGCAGCAGCTGCTCGTCCAACTGCATGGTGCTTGGCTTGGCCTTGACCTCCTCGGGCGGCTCTTCCTCGCGAACGGACTCTGGTGGCGGCTCCAGCGTGAGCGGCTGCAGCTGCCAGCAGCCGTACATGTCAATGGTCTGTATGAAGACGGCCGGGCACAGCTGCGATTTGTTGCCGTTCTCATCCAGCCAGACGGGGCCCAGGAGGCGTGGCTTGATCTTCTTGGTCTGTTTCTTCATTTCCTGTGCAAACTCCTGTTGCAGCACCTGTAGCTTGGCTTTCTGCGCCTCACGTGTGTTGCCATCCTCGAGCTCGCCATCGTTTTGCATCTCCTCGTCGCTGAGATGGCCATGGGGAACAAACCATTCGTTGTACTCCTCTTCAGACTCCTCCTCAGACTCGCGCTCCTTTTCATCCTCGCTGGCGCTCAGCGATTCGCCCGGCTCCTCCTCCTCCCACTCGCAATCGGAGTCCACCTCGTAGTCGAAATGATTCTGCAGCAGGAATATAAATATGTCTGTGGTTAGGGCACAGCTGGAGCGAATTCCCTTATAACATACCTTATCCTGGCCCAGTGGACGGCGCGCACTGATCAGCTGGCTGCGCTTGCGCCAGGTGCCGTAGTAGGGCGGACGACGATTGTCTGCAAAGTGCAAATACTTGGCACGCGTCCAGGGCAGCTGCTTGGGCCGCTCCTCCACAATGGGCGTGCCCGCATTGGCCAGCTCATCTGCAAGCAACAGATTGTGTTAATATGAGATGTTTCCAAAAGGGCCAAAAACTGTGCACTTACCAATCACCTGGACATCATCGTCATCCTCCTCTTCCTTGGCACATCTCTGCAGCCGGGCATCACGTTTGCTGGCCAGCGGCTTGTGCTTGCCCAGGCTCAGTTGGCTCAGATAGAGCTGGGCGCGTGTGGGACGCTTGACGCGTCCAATGCTACTGTTGAGTTCCTCTTCCTCCTTCTCTTCATCTTGATCATCGGGCACGAGGAACAGGCTGTCTAGCTGTTGGCGCGTGTCGGCGCCGAGTGTGGCGCGTATGACAGGCGCCAGGATCATGTCGTCCTTGACCTGAAAGGGACGAAACGCGAGCTGCTGGCTGCTGCTGTGACTGGGGCCGCTGTCGCAGCTGTTCTGCTCGTGCTCCAGCGTGCCACCGTTGGATTGTTTCGGCTGTTTGGGCACAAAGAATTTAGTGAAGGATGCGGCGGCGCGTTTCTTCTTCTGTTCGGCTTCTTCCTTCTCCTGTTCCTTGCGGCGACGCTCCTCGTCCTTTTTGCGCTGCACCTCCTCCTTGGCCTCGTTGCGTTTGCGCTTCTCCTCGTGCTCGAGCTGCCGCTTTCGTTCCTTTTCCTCGCGCTCTTTGCGCTTCAGTTCCTCTTTGTCCTCACGCTCTTTGCGCCTCAGTTCCTCCTTGTCCTCGCGCTCCTTGCGTCGCTGCTCCTCCTTGACGTCGCGCTCCGCCTTCTTTTGCTGCTCGCGCTGCTCTTTCTCCAGCTGCTTGAGGCGACGCTCCTCCTGCAGCTTGCGCTCCTTCTCTTCGCGCGCCTTGCGTCGCTGCTCCATTAGCTTCTGCTGCTTGGGCGTCAAGTTCTGCAGCTTCTCCGACTTCTTTGGCACACGGGCAGCAGCGCTGGCGCTCGAACCGGCTGACTTGTGCTCCTCATCATCATCATCATCATCATCATCATCATCATCATCATCATCATCCTCCTCCTCCTTCCTCTCTTTTTCCTGTGACGTTTTGTTTAGCGTGTCGCTGTCTACGTCCATGTCCAGATCGGTGCTGGACTGCTCAGCGATAGCATTTTCTTCGGACTTTAGGTCGCTGTCGCTGCTGTCCAGGAGCATCACTTCCGAGTCGACATCCATGATGGATTCTTTATCTGACTTCGATTCGCCTTTGGCACTTGACCCCGTTTCGGACGTGGACTTCACATCTGACTTTGCCGGGGAATCCGGTTTGGACTTCACTTCTTCCTTGGATTCCACAGTCGTTTCGGACTCCAGATCAGTCTTGGCCTTGACAATCGTCTTGGCCTTTCGCTTCGACTTGGCCTCCACGTTCAATTTGGTCTGGACAGGCATCTTGATCTTGGCTGCGATCTTTGGCGATGCTTTGGACTTGGCCACACTCACCTTGGGTCGCTTTTGCGGATTAAGACTATTGGCAATGACCTCAATATCATCGCTGGAGTCGCTGGGCTCGGCGGCTGGCGGAGTCTTTACCGACTTTTCCGACTTCTTCAGGGACTTGCGGCGCTTGCCGCGTTTGTTGCTCAGCGGCAGCTTGATTTGAATGGGCGCCGGCTGACTGACGCTCTCCGCGCTCTTCTCCTTCACCTTTTTCTCCTTGACATGGTCATCAGCAGCTTCTTCTTCGACATCTCCGACTTCGTCGTCGTCGTCAACATCATCGTCGTCATCCACCTCAATGACTTCTTCGGGCATTGGATCTGCAGTTTTGGGTTTCTTGCTAGACGTAATGCCTGACACGCCCAGCTCGCCCAGATTCTCTTTGCTGTTGGAGCGGCGCAGCTGCTCCGCCTCCGGTTCCTCGTCGCAGTCATAGGACAGCTTGCGCTTGCGGGGCTCACGCTCCAACTGCTCCTCTTCCACAACACTGGACGCCGATGCTGTTGGAGTTGTGGTTGCTGTCGCCGTTGGGGAGGCGGCGGCAGCCTTTGCCACGGGCGTTATCAGCTTAAATGGCAGACGCGTCTGCACAAATTTCTTGCCACCGCTGCCGTTGTCATTGCCATTGCGGTCTGCCGATTTGGTTGCATTTGCATCTTTTGCACGTGTCGTGTTTGGTGTTTTAACAATGCCGGCAGGCATCTTATTACACTTGTTCGCGGTGTTTATGTAAATGTTTATATATGTAAATTGCTAATGCAGTTTGCCTTTTTTCCACTTTTCGTTTATCTTTCACGCGCGCTACACACAAACACACGCACAACAGTTGTGGCAAAAGCGCGCCAAAAACAAAACATGCCCAGATGTTTTTTTCAGAGTTGCTGTGGACGGGCATTTCGATGGTTAAACGTCAGCAATAGTTCGCAATGGTTGGCAACGCAGCACCTAAACAATAATAAATTGTTCGGTAGATGGCGCTTTGAGTTGCATTGGGCTATTTTTTTTTGTAAACCGTTATTATTTTGAAAAACAACGGAAATGGCGCTACCTAGCAAATTGTCCATCTGCAGTTGGGAATTCTAATTTGTAATATATCTATAGCAATCAGATAAAGCAGTAAAGAGCAAAGCAAATGCTTAAAATTTTAATTCCCCCAAAGTTATGAAAATTTAATTGAATATAATATACATAGTGATCGCTTGATAAAATTTTACAAATAATGATGAAAATTAAGAAAATAAATTTAAATAAATTTACTGAAGTTATTCAAAAGTTTGAATTTCCTGAAAGCCTTCAAATGTGATTCGCAAAATTGAAAATTTTATAAATTTCAAGAATATTTAGGTTAAAAGAGAAATTGTTTTAATTTACAAAAGTTATTCGAAAATTGAAGTTTTCTAAAGGGAAATTAAAATAGAACGCCTGAAATTAATTATATATTAATTTTACATTTTGAAATAAAGAACTTTCGCGAACATTCTTTTATTTACCTTATCTTGTTTTTTTTTTTTATTTATTTATTTAATTCTCTTACTTTTAGCATAAGGTAAATTGTGATTTGGCCATATTTGAATTATGCATCCATTGACAATTTGATCACAGTTTGCGAGCGACTACTGTACTGTTGCATTATTTAAATATTTGTTAATATTTGATTAAATGTGGCACGCCAAATTTTGTTTAATGGTGCAATAAATTATGCACAAATGATCAGTTCCCGAGCCGTATTTAATTTAATTGAAAGCGCGGAGAATTTCTGCAATTGCATTTATTCGGATGTAGTTTAATAAACTTTTGCAATAATAAACAAGTTTTTTACATTGTTTACGCTGTTTAATGTGGCATTTTTACTAATCCCGGATAAGTGCAATTCACTTGCGGCCACAATGTGCACAAGCTGCCCCTCCCCCACCTCGCTATCCGAGTGCTCCGCCTCTGCCGCACCCTTTGCCTTGACAGCGACAGCGGCAGCGGCAGCGGCAGCGGATCTCGTTGACATGGTGACTGAATGCTCGGAGTGCTCAGCCGGGTCTTGAGCTGCAGTAACATTTATTTAATTACAATGTGTCTCAATAAGCAGTCACGCTGCCCCCAGCACCCCCCCCCCCCCCCCCCCCCCACTCACTGTGCTGACCCCTTCCCACAGCTCATGGGCTGAGTTTAAGCAAAATATGTTGTAAATTGCAACCGATGCACAAGTGTATCCTACCACTGCCACTCCCCCTTTCCCATCCCCCTGCCAATGCTGCTCATCATTGTCATCGCCTGCTGCTTGGCTTTAACCCATTTAACTTACGCTCAAATCTTAAATCTAATATTGACATGTGTAACAGAAACGGCCGCCCGCTGCGGTCGCTGTTGCGGTTACGGGTTCTGACTAGGGCGTCGGGCGTTGGGCGGCGGGAGCGGGGGCGGTGGCGGGGTCGGTGTGTGGTTGGCATTAGATACGCACTTTGGTTGGGCAGCCCTGATTTGGCAGTTTGCTCGACATCGACTCCTTTAATAATGATAATAATAATAATTTTGCCTTGATGCTGACTCCGTTGGGATTTGGTTGGGAAAGCGTTTGGCGCGCGCGTTTGGTGAGCGTAAAATGAAAATTCGGTCATGCATGTGAACGGGACCGAAGCGGGCTGTATGCTGGGCGGGGTTGGCGGGGATTGCCCTATGTAGGTAATAGAAAATCTATTAGCGCGTACAAAGCGCAGCAAGTCTCTGGAGAGCGAGCGGCAGTGGGGGGTGGACAGGCACACGCACATACACACACACACACACACACACACACACACACACATAGAAGCTCACGCACACTAACATTCATTCATTCATTCGTCCTTTTGATGACACGCAAAGCAATGCAAATGCATGAGTGCGAGCGAGAGCGCGTCCGAAATTAGAGACCTGTTGGCGTGAAGCGTGCATGACAAACGACTGACTGACAGGCAGACAGACATATGACATACATACAATCTTACAAGAAATGCGCATGGCTTTGTGTGTGTGTGTGTGTCTGTGTGTAAGGTAGTAGCGATATTTGCACAGTGTGCGTGTGGCCACAGCTCTTGCGACAAATTATGCATATGCATATGGATAGTTTTTTTTTTTATCAGTGGGGTCAGCCAACCTTTAACAAAAAACAGACAGATCAACTAAAAGAAACAAAACAGAAAAGAATTTTTATAGCGGTAAATACTATGAAATGAAGGCATACATAAATAGGAAATCTTTCCGGATAGGTTAGATGTTTGACATTTATATCGACCAAGTCAGTTTCAAAAGTAGATATTCGTTCGGAAAAAGTCTGAACTGGCAGCGCTGTCGCAGATTATTTTATAATCATCGATAGGTTACGATCACATACAAAAAATCGTTAAGAAAAATGCGATAACCAAAGTGTATGCATGTTCAAATGAATGCTTCCTTAAGGTAAATCTGGCAAAATATTGAAGTTAACGCACTTATTTCCCATCCGTCTATATAATCCTGCTGGTTTGAATGACGAATCCCTCAGTGATTGGTGATCAAATGCACGAGCCAAGCGAAAGCGAAGGGCGACGGAACTTTTTACATTGTGAATTTCTCCCGTTAGTGTGGAAGCTTCGCAAAAATCGGTTGTGTACAACTTTTTCATCGTAATAGTATTGGAATCTTAGGGAAAATAAATTACAGTTTTATGGATGGGGAAATGGTGGGCAGGATGGTTTAGTGAACAGTTAAGTATTTATTCGATCAGCTTCAAACTTATTTACAAAGATTCACGAGCGAGAAGTGTGTGGAATATGGGTGAGAAATGGGTGGCTTTGAGTCCAACCTTTTGTTTATAAGTTTTATCGATCTCAAACCTTTTTTTCTACAATGTATGTACAATTTAAGACGTGTGTGTCACGGCAAAATCGATGAATTTACATTCACTAACGGGTGGGAAATAGGTGGAATCTATTTAAGTTTTCAGTTTTAAGCATTAAAATATGTCATATTTTAATTGATAAGATTTATTAGAATGCATTCATATTTTCTGCTTTTCAGAATATATAATAATATCTTGTTATTTTACTCTGCTTAAGCCTAAAATAATTTTTAATTCAACAAGATTTAATATGTTTTTTTTTGAGAGCACGTGATAAAAATATGTAAAAATCGAAATATTTTTGGACTTAACTCGAAAGCTGCGAAAAAATGTCGCAGCATAAAAATAATTATAATCGACACCTAATTAAATGTAATTATAAAAGCTAATTGGGTTTGAATTATTTTGAAAGGTTTATTAACTAATGCGCCACTGTGGCAGCTCAAGACTTGGGTCTTGTCTCCTGCTGCCGATTACCCAACAAAACCACACCACACCCTGCCCCACCCGGCCCGCCTCGCCTCGCCCCGCCCTGTCAGGCCACGTAACGCCCTGCTCTAGTCTTCAATCGCAGCGAGTATTGTATTTAAGTAATTGGAGGGTAAAATGTGTTTCCAATTTGTTGTACTGTATGTGTATGTGTGTGCGTGTTAGTGTGTGTGTGTGGCAACATTTTTCGCAGTACTGCGGACTTACTTACTGCCACACAGTAACAAACAACAACAGCGGCAACTGCAAGATTGAAAAAAGTATTGAATTACATTTATACAACATTTGGTTGAATAGCTTTTGCGAGGGAGCCCCCTCAATGCTGGCCCGTGCGCTGCGGTTTGTATTTCCCTTTGTTCAGCGCTCGCCGTGGCGGGTCGTGGGTGGGTTTTTTGGGTGGCCGCACTTGCCAGTGTCTATCTGTCTATCTGTCTGTCTGCCAGTCAGCCAGTCTCTCTGCCAGTCTCTCTGTCAGCCTGTCTGTCTGTCTGTCCTGCTGTATATATGTGGCTTCCATGGTGTGTCTAGCTACGTCAGCGGCGACACAACGTTGAAAGCTATTGGCATTTCCCGCAGGAATCGCCATGAAAATTCATTAGTTGCCTTACTTTTGGATGGCGGTGCTATTAGTCGCACATACGTATCCATAGATGAATTTAGCTTATATATGTACATACTTATATATTTGTATTTCTATACAATTACTCATCTATATGAACGCACGCATGCATGCATTTAGTGTGTGTCCATTCAGAGCTCGCTTTTGGGATTTTTTTTTATTTCTGGGACAGGGTCTGGACTCGCTTTATTATGCCGTTTGAGCCAGAGACAGATACGCATTAAAATTGTAACAGGCAAATGGGAATGGTAAAAGGTAAAATGCTATAGGGAAGTTCGGCAGGTACACAAGAGAGTCTCAACAGAAAGCCAGCTAGAGAGAGAGAGAGAGAGAGAGCGAGCGAGAGAGTGAGAGCGAGAGAGAGAGAGAGAGAGAGATACATGGGTTGACACACTTGCCACAGACGCAACCGGCAAACGTCCTTAGCACAATGCAGCCTTTGTCTGCCTTTACCGGATATTTCGTAGAAAACGCATTTCCCACACTTTTCACTCTGTCTGTCAGTTGCCCACGCTTTGATCTGTCGACCTGTCGATCGACAGCCATAAATAGCTGTCAAAATCAATTCCCTTCGACTGCTTCTTCTTCTTCTTCTTCTTCTTCTGCTTTTGCCTCTTCTTTGACTGCTGCCTCATGCTGTAAGCTTCATTGCAACAAATTGGCTTGATTCACATTTTGATGCCATGACCGGGCAGTTTCCAACAGCTTCCGATCTTCTGGCTCAAAGTTCAACAAGTCATGCTGATAAATTGCCATGTGCCTAGCCAGCCAGCGATGAAAGTTGTTTGCTCCGTATGCCCCCGCGCTACGATCTCTGCCTCACCCCGAGCCCCGAGCTTGCCACAAAGTGTAGCACAGTTTTGGG